CTCACAAGCGGGAGAACCCAGGTTTGATTCCCAATAGGAACCCAATTGTTAGTTGACTGGCGGAATGCTTTCTGGGGATAATAATCCCTCCCCCCAAAAAATGTTCACTTCAACTGTTTGTGGGACACTGCTGTGAGCGATTGGCTGCCAGGTTTTGCCCACAAAACACACAATCAATCTACTTTATAATCTGTGAAGCGCTTTGAGAAGTCTCAATGATGTATAAGGCGGTATATCAAATGCAAGGATTATTATTATTATTAAGACCCTAGATCTATACCAACAAAGAAGAGCACTAAAGTAGGAACTACTCTGGTTCTGTCAGAAATTCTCTGTGACACTCTTTGGCTTTGCTGTAAACCGAACTAATACAGGAAGTAGGAGTTCCAAGAACTCTACAAACCACAAAACAAGTCGGAATTCTGCTCAAGAGATTCTCAGTGTTTGTGGTGAAAGATCTAGCATTACAGTCTTCAAAACCCGAAGACGAGTGAATCCACAACAAAGCCAAAGGAATTTTTAGACCATGTGCATGTGATCTGGTTTGTGTGCTTCCTATTGATTGAGGAGATCTTCCCACAGCTAAAATTTTGTGAATAAGTAATCAAATTGCTGCACTTAAACTTTCATTTTCATTTATTTTTTGGTAAGGTAGTTCTGCATAAAGTTTCATAATGAAGCCAAATATGTAGGTAAAGACATTTTCAGCACAGAAGTTATTTAGGCCCATCATACTAGTACCACTGCTCTGTTTTCCTAACTTGCATTTCTAATTAATCCCACTTTCCTTATCAAAGTACTCCTGTATCAACAATAAAGTTGTACACATCACCTGAGTGAAGGAATGTAAGGATTATAATATAATTATTATTATATTATTGTGTCAGAAATGTTGTCGTTCTATTCTACAAATCATAGCTGCTGTCAGAATAGATTCACCAAATGTTTGTCTGTCACTTTTATTAGAATAGTGTCTACTATTGCAAGGTTCAAAAGCACAAGTTCTTTGTCTGTGTTGGTGATCACACCAAGGAATTCTGTCTGATTATTAGTCCTCCTTTCATGTGGGATAGTGTAGTGCTTTCTAACCCTACACTGGATGAGATCAGGTAATTCAGCTTATGTCCAGGTTCAATTCCTGACATGAGTTCCCTCATCTCAGCCAGGTAGGGATAGAAAGTACTAGTTAATTTTAATAAGAAGCTAGACAGATGCCTGATCTTGAAAAGGATTAATGGTTATTGAACATGTAGATCATCAAATGCTCTGTGGAATACTACCACTCCAGCCCCACTGGGATCACCATAAAATAACACCATAAATACTCATTTAGGATTAAAAATGTAGATTTTATTAGCACTGAATTACTTCAATATTCTAATATTTAATATTTGAGAGGCTTAGCTTAACATCCATGAAACCATTCATCTATCACCAGAGATTTAAGTTTGCGAAGAGGGCACGTACGTCTCAATAAAATTCTACGCATAATAGTTCATCAGAAGGAATGAGCTCATTGTGAAGAATGTTTTTTTATATATGTTCTTAGTCACGAAGAAAAAAAGCTAACTACTGCTGCACAAAACATCTTCAGGATCCAATGATTGAATTTCCTAATTAACACTTAAACTTGTCCCAAAAAAAGGGACTTCCTCCTGACGTGAAAGGCACTAAAGTAATTTGCTGTTGTTGTTGTCCTGTGGCTCTATGCAGATGTCTCTAGCACTGGTAGCTTATCCCAGTTTCTAAAACTTTGCAACAGCAGCATTTGGTGTGATTCAGCCCTAACAGTTGCGAGGCAGCCAATAAACAAGGCAAACAGGATGTTGGACTACATTGCCAAATCGGTTCAGTTCAAAACCTCAGAAGTCTTGTTCAAGTTTACAGTACCAGGCATTAATGAAGTTTAGTTGTTAACCAATGTGTACACAGTCTAACGCAGCCTATGTGTTATTGCCACAAGACCAACAACACCTTGCAAATGAACCAGCTGAATTCATCAGTGCTTTAAACATCCTGAGCAATTTGCAACAAGTTCTTTATTCTGTGGGTGAGTTTAATTTGCTAATTTTAACACTCTAGGGAGTTTTGTTTTGGGGTGAGGCATAGGTAAGGAAATAGAACCTGAAATTGCTAACTGGATAGAGATCAGCCTTAAGCTTTAGCTTATTCGCATTATTATTCAGGTGTGGACGGTAGCCCAGTTGTCTAATTTGCAGAAGTGAATCTTTGCGGTCAGTGAAACATGGCATTGCATTATAATACACAGTATTTAAATGATGTTGGTGTTCATCTACTCTGGACTGGATATCAAGAAAGATGATGAATTTTACGAGATTTCTGGTACATTTTAGTAAATTATTACACCAGTTTGGTAATAATTGCACTTTTTAAATAAAAATTTACCATTTTCTAAGCAACTTGCTTTTATATAAATACTGTGGAGTAAAAGTACATATTAATGGTCCTAAGTGTGGTCTTATTACTATGGCAGAACAGCAGATTGAACCCAATTAGCTCTGGGAGCTCAGTCCACTTTCTCCCCATTCAATTCCTCATCATGGAATGTTGGTGGCTATTAAGACAATCTCCCAGGTAACTGTAAGGTCCTGCATTAGACGTGTCTTCATAATGCAGTTGTTAATGTCAGGACAAACTATTTTTTAGGCAAGCCCAATGCGTTTGAGGTCCTTAACCTTTTTAGTGCTCCGAAACACCATCCTGTATGAAGGCCCACAACTTCACGCCAGACGTTGTTGCAGAAAAATGTTAACTTAAGAATTTTATCACAAAAACCTTCTTGAGCAAATTGTTTGTTGATTAATTCATTGCGCAATAAACATCTCCTTTTGGTACAGTATTTCTTCAGCTGCTAGCGCAGAAGCATGTATGTTTGAATGAGGATTCATAGTATAATTACATATTATAGTATTGGATCAGAATACTTTATCTCTAAAATGAATTGATGGCACAATCTCTGCTCGGGCCTTGTATAAAAGCGTGGTATGACATGGATTCCTGGGTGTAAATTCTTATCTGGTGAATTCCTAATCTAAGACAGGATATCTGAGAAAGCAGGTGGCTAGGGGCAAGATGTTTTGCCAGAGAATCAGAAGAGTCTTGCTTTAAGGCCCAAATTGGATCTTGGAATTAACAAAAGTCCATCGTAACCTTCCAATGCACTGCTTTTCTGGGGGAGCTCAGTATCTCAGTACACGGCGCCTTGGGACGTCCTCCCGACGTGAAAGGCGCTCTATAAATGGAATCTTGTTGTTGTTGTATCTGGCAGCTTCCCTTCAAAATATTGGTCACTCAATCCAAGACACCTTGCATGTGTATTTCATGTCTTCGAGACTTCTCAAAGCTCACAGAATATACCGTAAAGTGAATTGACTGTATATTTGTGGCTGAAACATGGCAGCCAATTGTGCACAGCGGAGTCCCACAAACAGCCGTGGTTTGAATGACCAAACTATTATTTTATTTTTTTCTTGAATTATTATCAAGCGTGTGGAATAAAGAAACTTGCCCAAGGTTTTGCCCTGCTGGGAATTGAACCCAGATCACTCGATTGCAAGGCGAGTGCTCTACCACTGAGCTACCAGGGCTCCTAAATGGATCATTTAGTTTTGTTTCCTTTGTAAAACTTGCAAAGTTTGCTTTTGCATTGCTTGCAATCGTTTGCAATGAGCAGAACAAGAACAACACGATCATTCTGATGGGAAAGTGAAAATCATTAGTTTTATTATTATTTTTTATTACGAAATGTATTTCCTTTTATGAAATGCACCCCCGAGGTTGTGCTCGTGTCGAGAGAATGAGATTTGGTGCCAACCTGGTTTGCATTTGACTCCTCGCACCAACCCCAAAAAAAACGAAGCGGCCAACACTCTTTCGACAGGCCCACCCTGGCCAACAAGCCAAGCGAGGCTTGCATAGATGAGCCCTAAGTCAAGTCAGGTCTGCTTGAAACTCTGCACGGTGCAGGGGAAAGGGTGGTGGTGGGGGGGGTGTGGGGAGGGGGTGGTAGTTTCTTGTATATAAGTACATTGTTCGCCATGCCTCTATCCTATCGCCTCTTATTGTGCATTTGGCAATTGGCCGCCCCGTTTCGCCCACAAAATATACAGTCAATTGACTTTACAGCGTAATCCCTTGAGACGCTTTGAGATGTGACAAGGCTCTGTATCAAATGCAAGGAGTGTTATTGTTATTATTATTATTATTATGTTATAACAGTTGCGATAGCCAAATGAAGAGACAGAGAGCGCAAGGGCATCCCGCGCATGCGCGCTGGTTGTCGCGGGCCGGGAGGCGGGGGAGGGGAGGGGGGGGGGACACTATTCGGCAAGGTGTGCGGGGCGCACCAGCGCGCCTGCGCGGAGCGCCGCCCGGATGGGGAGCTCAGTATCTGGCAGCTTCCCCCCTTCCCTCACTTTCCACGAGCGCCGACGGCTCCGCGCGAGAGAGAGAGAGAGAGAGTGTGTGTGAGGCGAAGGCGATAGAGAGAGAGAGAGAAGGAGGGAGGGAGACAGACAGACAGACAGGCAGACAGGCCACGTCGGCCGGGCCTTAGACAGCCGAGGCAGGAAGGACGGAGGGAGGGGAAGAGAAGAGTGAGAGCAGGAGGAAAAGGGAAGGAAAGTGTTAAAAAAAACCGGCCTGTGTGTAATTTTTTCTCTTCTCTTTTCCCACCCTCCCTCCCTCCCACCCTCCTTCCTTCCTTCCCTCCCTCTCCCCCCCCCCCACCCTGCAATTTAAAACCCATCCATCTTTCCTCGGCGTCGGCCGCGTTAAAAAAGATATGTAATATAAACAATATATAATATCATTATATTTTTCCCACCAGAGCTCCCCCCCCCTCTCCCCCTTTTTTTTCCCTCCCTCCTCAGGGAGGGAGGGGAGAGAGAGAGAGAAAGAGATAGATAGATAGAGAGAGAAAAATAAGAATAAAACGGTGGAGAGAGAGAGAGAGGGAGGGAGCGGGGGGTGGGTGGGTGGGTGGGGGGGAAAGAGAAAAAAAAAGAGAGAAAAAGTGCTGTCAAAAAAAAAGTGCCTGGTGTTGTCTTGCCTGTCAGTTCCCGGTGAGTAAAAGCGGCGAGTTGTGAGCGAGTCCCTTCCCTTCTTTTTCTCTCTCTCGCTCTCTCTTCTTTTTCTCCTTCTTCTCCCTCTTCCTCTCGGGCTGTCGCGGTTTGGGTTGGCGAGTGAGTGAGTGAGTGAGTGAGTTAGTCAGTCAGTCAGTGAGCGCGAGCGGTGACCGTTGGTGAGGGGATGGAGGGCGCGAGCGGTGACCGTTGGTGAGGGGGGGGGCGCGCGGTGACCGTTGGTCAGGGGATGGGGGGGGGGGGCGCGCGAGCGGTGACCGTTGGTGAGGGGGGGGGGCGCGAGCGGTGACCGTTGGTCAGGGGATGGGGGGGGAGCGGTGACCGTTGGTGAGGGGATGGGGGGGGGGCGCGAGCGGTGACCGTTGGTGGTGGGGGGGGGGGCGCGAGCCGCCGGTCGCCGCCATGACAGCTACCCCCCCCCCCCCACCCTCCCTCATCTCTCATCACACACACACATCAATGTCAGGGATTGTTTTTGATATGTTATTTTATGGTTCCAACCCCCCCCCCCCCACCCCCACCCACCTTTTATATATGCAGGTGTCCTTGACCCCCCCCCCCACACACACACATACACACACACAGCAACACACACACATCAATGTCAGGGATTATTTTTGATATATGTTATTATATATATATATGTGTGTGTGTGTATACACACAGATTCCAGCCCCCCGCCCCTCCCCCTTTTATATAGGTAGGGGATTCTCCCCCCCCCCCCATACACACACACACAGCAACACATAACCTACCACAGACATCAATGGCAGAGATTATTTTTGATGTATGTTATTATATATATATCTATATGTATATACAGGTTCCAGCCCCCCGCGCCCCCCCTTTTATATATGCAGGTGTCCCCCCCCCTCTCCCCCCACACACACACACACAGCAACACACAACTCACCACACACATCAATGGCAGAGATTATTTTTGATATATGTTACTATATATATACATACACAAGAGGTTCCAGCCCCCCCCCCCCCCCCCGCCCCCCTTTTATATATGCAGGTCCCCCCCCCCACACACACACACAGCAACACACACACGCATATATCAATGTCAGGGATTATTTTTAATATATGTTATATATGTATATATAAGGTTCCAGCCCAGCCCCCCCTTTTATATATCAGCTCCCCCAACACGTATACACACAGCAACAGACACATCAATGTCACATGACATCAATGTCAGGGATTATTTTTGATATGTTATATATATATATATAGGTTCCAGCCCACCTCCCCCTTTTATATATACCGTGCGTCCACACACACAGCGACACACACACACATCAATGTCGGGGCTTTGATATACATTATGTTTATATATACAGGTTCTCCACCCCCACCTCAGCGCCTCACACACGCACCCCATTTTCCCCTCAAAAATATCAGGGCTTATTTTTTATATTATTGTATATTGTGTGTATGTGTGTGTGTGTATATATATGAAAAATATCCTCTTCCACTTTTGTAGACACTTCTCTGCTTCTCATTCTCTGCCATTTCCCCTTTTCCTGCCTGAAAGTGTGGTGGAAGCAGATTCAATCCTAACTTTCAAAAGGGAATTGGATAGATACAGTACTTGAAAAGAAAAAAAAATTGCAAGGCTATGGGGAAGAGCTATGAGCGGAGTGGGACTGGTTAGACAGCTCTTTCAAAGAGACGGCACAGGAATGATGGGTCGAATGGCCTCCTGTGATATTGGATTCTATGATTTTATAATCTTAACACTGCCCCACTCACCCACCGAGGTCAGGTCAGACCTCTCTATTGTCCAAACTCCAGAGAGAAAAACTGCTGACCTCTAAACTGTGACCCTAAGGCCACATCCATTCACGCCTGGTAGCAAGTGGACAAATCAACCTGGGATAGAAAGTACCACCCACACTGCTTTGAGATGTTGTAGACCTGTGGTCAATGTTGATCAGATAAGGTGAATGTTAATAACCTGTTTCCACTTATCACTGAGTTCTCCACACGCACCCTTTCCTTCACTGAACCCCAAATACCAACTAAAGGTGTGAAAGGCAGATAGAGAGAAGGAAGGGGAGGATTACCCACGTTTATCTTGAGTGAATTCAACCCATTTCAGGGCTTTGCCATCCGCACCTATTTGAGGTGTGAATTTTCTTCCCCTTACACCCCCTCCTCTTTTGACTGAAACAGGCAGGAACGTGAACAGCTTTCTCAAGCGCTCCGGGACACTACGTGAAGGGTGCTGTATAATCGCAAGTTGTTGTTATTTTTCCAAGACTTAATATGGGCAAGTGGACTCAGCGATTAATTGTTTTTTTAAAAAAGACTTTCGGTGGTAAATAACGCCCCTTACAAAGCAGGATGTGTTTCTGCGATTCACTGCCAGATGTTTTAATGTACGTTTAACCCTTCCAGGACTTCATCACTATTTCTGTACTAGGAGCACATTGTGTGTGTGTGTGTGTTTAAGTTCTGAAATGTTTTATGGTTCCATTCATTTTGTAATTATGGTTTGTAACCTCAGCAATTAGGCGGAATTAATGTCTGCAGATAGGGCTACGCACCCGTGAATGTTGCAACGTGTTGGTTAAAGAAAGTACAGGATTTTTGTGGCCCCAATACATTTTTTAATCTTCATTTTAAGTGAGTGAGTGACCTGTGAATTTTACCCTCACTAAGTGAACCATTTAATGGAACTGTTGCTGAAATGTCAAAATAGTTTTGGTGACTATAAATGTTTTAGTGTGTGGTTATGGTTTGATTTATTTTAAATTATTAGTGGATTTTCAAGGTATGCACTAACTAGTTGGGTTGCTTACAGCATTAGAATACAATTTACCATAAACATTTTGATATGAAAAATACTTATTTACTGAATAACTCAAAAGTTGTTTTGTAAAACTGGACTTATTTTACCTTTCCTACTGTTGTTTGGCTTGCTTTTTTTTAAAAAAAATTGCCTTTTCCATTCCAACTCTCGTGCTTTTTGGTCAGTTGAATATTAGTAAGAAGATGAAATTTTGTATCCTACTGCTCCTCCCTCTTCACTTTCAAGACTGCCTCAAGACTTACCTTTTTGACCGCACTTTTGGTCATTAACTCTCCTCCCCGCGCGGCCCTGAACCTGGCTGTATAAAGCACTTTGAAATGTCTCCTGACCTAAAAAGGTGATATAATAAATTTGAATTATATCTACAGAAGCAACAACAGCCTTTGAATGCTGCTGCATGTGAAGCCTGGAATGGTCATGGCTATCATATCAATGAATGACTGGCTACAGCTAAGTCTTGAGTCTAAGTCTAGTCGTGAGCTAACTTTGTTTGTGGAGTTTAAATTCAATGTATTCATTTTCGTTTTTTTAAAAAAAATCTGCACTCTGTCCCACGTGAGTTTTGAAATGTTAAAATTTAATGAAAATACTCCTGCCGTTGTCCTCTTTTTGCTGGTGGTGTTAGGGTTTCCAATTTTATCATAAATTCTTGACATTAGGCCAGTTTCAAAAGCAATAACATGCTTCAGTATATTTTTAGGTACAGAAGACTGTCATTGAATTTGCTGGTCATCTGTAGAGTGCACATTAAAATAGTTTAAAGTGACTAGATCAGAAGAAGAATGCGTGTCTAACCGGTGGTACTATTCTGAGATGTTTTATAATAAGATAGACGAAACATTTGCACTAGCTACCCTGAGAGCAAGCTTTTTAATCTATTTGGATTCTGACATAGATTACTTCATATATTAATGTAAAGGAAGTGTTTTAATAAACACCATGATGGTGCTTTCTGTACAGTGATCATTGGTACTATGGCCAGCCTGAGAAAATATTTCTATAGTAATCTGGTTCAAATACCATCCACATTATTGGTGTCCTTATAGTCAAAGGAAAGCTTTGTCAGTATGACTTGAATTCTTCCCCCACCTGTGATTTCAGGATGTGATCAATATAACTGCTGATTTAGAAATAACTTTTTGATGTGCCTTATCTTGTTCGCATCTCAAAGTACAGTACTTCACAAATAATTAATGTTCAGTATAGTGCCTGTTTCTGATAGCTATACGTGATAGCCAGGCAAATTTGTCCAGGTGAAGTCCCCAGACAACCACGATATGAATTGTCAATTAATCTGGAAGATACCAGAAGAACTCCCCATTCCATTTTCAATTATTGTAATGGTATTATTAACAGTGTCAGTCTAGATTTATGAGTTTAAGTCCCACCATGAGGTTTAATCTTCAACCATCTAACCCAGTGGCAAGAGCTCTTTCAACTGAGTCAAATTTATTTGGATTTGCAGATTATGTATTTTGGGACACATCTGCAGTTTTTAGGTATTCTGCAATGCGTTTGAGTCCTGTCATACAGTTAAATACAGTTTTCTCATAGAAAGGTTGAAAAGTTTGTGTTTGTGATTTAGTTGGTGAAAAGTGCATATAATTGAAGTGTTCAGTCCTTAATTAAAAATGATAGATCACACTGGAACTGCAAATATTTGCCTTTGAGTTGAAATGGTCCCTGAAACACATGAGATTATTTTAAATTTCTTTTATATTTCATTTGTGGCTCTTAAATCATGTATTCAGACAGTTCTCAAAATATGAGTACTTTGTGAATGTAAACTAGACCAAGGATTTGGAGAATGTATACAGTCCTTAAAATGGCCTTTATGGTATATTTGCTAGTTGCAGCTGGATTTTCCTGAAAAGAATTTGGAAGTATACTTTCCTGTAGTGACGAGACAAAAAAAAGTCAGCCTAACATTATGTTCTTTGTGCTACAGGCTTAAATGGTTACAACCGTATACAATATATTAAATAGTGTCTAACGTCATCTGCTTTTTGAACAATGAAGTGTTTGTACGTCTGGTATGTACGATTTTGTTCCTCGGACTCTAGTCAGGTAGATTTTAACTAGCATGTTTACTTTGTCCAGTCTGTATGTTGTATGCTGATATGCTCTGGTACTTAATAGCAAGAATAGTGGATTCTCAAATTGGTAATTATCAAATGTACAAGGGATTGATCAAACTGCTTTCCATAAAAGGCACTTTTACAGGTCAGATGATTATGTTGGTACAAACGTATAGGACTGTTGAATCTCATTGCTTATAAAAACGTTCTTCCTATCCTATCATCTGACTCATAATTGAGCACTGTGTTGTAAAATCTCCCTCTTCCTGTCATGTGGTACAGAGTCATGCCTATAAATAGATCAAACTTGGAAAATACAAACTTCAACACAGACAATATGAGGAGGAATACTGAAAACTGTATTATGAATAAACAAAGTGCTTATGCTTTTTAAATCATGTACACCCAAGTCTTTGGCTGAAGAAAAGGTTGTATTAATCGGGTGCCTTATATGTTGATACATGGACCCATTTCTGTTCCTTTTATGCATAAAGGACCTGAATTTGCAAACTTGATGCAATGTAGATAATGTAGGGACTATATAATTGGATGACAGCCAGGGTCTTGCAGAGATAGACAGGGTATATAGATAAAGGTAAATGAAAAATACTGGACTTATAAAGTAAAAATAGGAGACATGTACTTTTTGAAAAGGATGGAACTTATAAAGGGGGAATTCAAAGGAATATAGGGATTTTGGTTGCTCATCGTCATACTTAATCTCAAAAAATGTGGGATACCAAGAGACAAGTGGAGTCCTGTAGCTCAATGGTTAGAGCACTCGCTTCCCAAGCAAGAAACCTGGGTTCGATTCCCAGCAGTGCAAAATAATAATAATAATCCTTGCATTTGAAATAGCGTTTTTCACATCTTCTCGACATCTCAAAGCGCTTCACAGAATATACTGTAAAGTGAATTGACTGTATATTTGTGTGCGAAACGCGGCAGCCAATTACGCACAGCAATGTCCCACAAACAGTTTTGAATTGAAAATGACTAATTTATTATTGTTTTGTTTTGGAGGGATTATTATTAGGCGTGTGGAGTAAGGAAACTTGCCCAAGGTTTCTCCCTGCCTGGAATTGAATCCAGGTGTCTCGCTTGCAAGGCGAGTGCTCCAACCACTGAGCTGCAGGACTCCACAAAATGTTCCACAACAAAATGTTAGGCAAATTTCCTTACTCCGCGCACCTCTTTTTCCCTAGTATTAAGTAGGAACCCAGTTAGTTAATTGGCAGATCGTTTTTCCGGAAGTAATAATCCTTCAAAAAAAATACTAATAAAAAAATAGTCACTTCAATCTATGATTGTTTGTGGGACACTGCTGTGCACAATTGGCTGCTGCACAAAATATACAGTCAATTCACTTTACAGTATATTCTGTGAAGTGCTTTGAGACGTCTCGAAGATGTGATAAGATGCTATATCAAATGTAAGGATTATTATTATAATAATATAAAATTATAATAGGCTGAACTACATTGCTAAATAAGTTGAGTTCATATAGAAGTATTGTTCATTTTGGAATTTGTTCTTGAGGTTCATTAATTAATAAATTATCTCTTAACCCCTCTTCTGTGGCATGAACACAGTTTGAAGGCTTAAGAAAAGTTCAGTCAAATAAGACAACTGTCTACGATCCAAGAAATTAATGTAGGTGTCTGTTATATTCTCTCTTCAGGAGTAGAACTGTGGAGAACTGACTGTGTTTCTATGAAAACCATTGAATTGATACCTGTATTTATTCTCCTGAATGACTAGTTTATCTGTACCTTGTAGCTTACACCTCAAATGTTCATCCGTTCTAAGTATTTGTGCTCGTATAAATGTGTGTTTGAAGAGTACAATGACAGAAACCTCACAGTGTGGGCAATGTGTGACCTCCTTTTTATCTCTGAAGGTAGTGGTTTCACTTTTGATGCTTATTAGTCTCGATGTACTGCAGGAATGCAATACTGTATTGTGTTCTGCTCAGATCTGCTATGTTTGACCAAGATTTACTTAGAATGCCAAAGTTTTGTCTTTTGTACATGAGGAATGGAGTAATAATAATAATAATCCTTGCATTTGATATAGCGCTTTTCATGTCTTCTAGATGTCCCAAAGCGCTTCACAGAATATACTGTAAAGTGAATTGACTGTATATTTGTGGGCGAACACAGCAGCCAATTGCGCACAGCAGTGTCTCACAAACAGTCATGGATTGAAAATGACCAATTTATTATTGTTTTTGGTTTTGGAGGGATTATTATTAGGCTCTGTGTGGAGTAAGGAAACTTGCCCAAGGTTTCGCCCTCTGCCTGGAATTGAACTCAGGTCTCTCACTTGCAAAGCGAGTGCTCTAACCACTGAGCTACAGGACTCCACAATTCAACCACTTTTTAAAATTCTGTGGTACTAAACTTGAAGATCACCTGAATTTTATAGGAAGTTACTTGAATTATTTACTTAAAAATGAACTTAGTGCTTTTTTTAAACTGAGCAAACTTTTCTTCACCTTTGGTTTAAAAAGTAGAGTAAATGCTTGAGTTTGAATACATTCACACAGTTATATTATTTCACTGTAACAGCAAATCAGTAACTAAACATTACGTAATTTTAGTTACGATTTGCTGTTAAAGTGAAATTGATATGCTTTCATTCCTCTCCTTTTCACCATCAGTATTGGGTTGAATCCAGATGATGCCCAACTTTGTTTCTCTGCCTTGACTCCAGAACTACTGCTGTTTTGACTGATTGCCTGTCAGTCAGGCCTAGATGTACTCTAACTTGCTTCAGTTGAATGTCAACAAGAGCAAGGTTCTCTTGCTTGGCTCCTGCTGACACATTCTCATTTCAGGCATTGACTATATCAATCTGCATTGGTACATATTCCACCGCACAGAACTAGTGTGGAACCTCAGAATCTTGTTTGATGGACAACTGTCTTTCAAGCCCTCATATCCAGGCTCACTCATTCAGCTTCCTCCGTCCTCTTCCACTACTTATCTCCAGGCTGCCAGGACTCCCATTCATATGGTCCAGGCTTGCTTGTTCCAGAATCCCTAGCTCCTCCCCACACAAGCTATTAACCATCCAGAACTCTACACCCCTTATCCTCACCCATATCAAGTTCCGCTAGGTATCACCCCATCTTCGTTCAATCCCACTGGTTCCCTTCTCCCCAGCAGATTTATTTCTAGATCCTCATCCTTGCATTGAAATCCCTCCGCAGTCTTGCCCCATCCTGCCTCTACAACCTCCTGCAACCTCCTGCTGATCCACCCACTCCCACCGCTCAGCAAACTGCTTCATGTGCCTTGCCCCATCCGCCGTTATGCCTCGTTCCTTGGCACTCTGTCTCACAGTTTTTTGCAACTCGCCCACTTCCTACTTTTAAACCCCACCTTAAGACTTTCCTCTTTGACCGCGTTTTCAGTCATCTTTCTCTCCGCTCCTCCTAACCTTCAGTTTACCTTTCCTCGTTTGGATATCTAACCAGCTGTGTAAAGGGCTATTGAGACATCCTCTTGACATAAAAGGTGCTCTATAAATGTCGAAATGAGGAAGTTAAGCATAGGAAGTTAATCTTGTCAGAAAAAGGACTCTAAATATCTCAACAGACTTTCATAATGTTGAGATATCCTGCAGCTCAGTGGTTAGACCAGCCTCGCAAGTGAGTGACCTGGGATTGGTTCCCAGCAGGCCGAAACCTTGAGCAAGTTTCCTTACTCCACAAGCCTGATAATAAATGCCTCAAGAAAATAAAATTGGTTACTTTAATCTACGAGTGTCTGTGGGACAATAGGCTGCTGCGTTTCCCCCACAAATATACAGTAAATTCACTTTACAATATGTTCTGTGAAGTGCTTTGATACGTTTAGAAGATGTGAAAACAGAATATCAAGTGAAAAGATTCTTATTCTAAAGAGAAGATAATTCATACAAATTGTTCACCCTGACAAAAGAATCCAAAACCATACATAGGAAAATCAAGTAGCAGTATTTCACATAAAGGTTAATAGAAACTTGGATCTTGTCCTGGGACAAAAAGTATAATAAATCCTGTTTGAATTTTCCTTCATTGTTTATGTCAGTGTCTCGGATGTCACTATCACCGACAAGGCCGTCTCCGACCACCACTTCATCTCCTTCACCACCTCCACCTCCCTCCCCACCTCCACCAGACCCACCACCATCTTCTACCGCCCCTGGAAGAAGTTACCCCCACAATCCCTTAACGCTGTCTTGGAGTCCTCTGAACTCCTCTCCCTCTGGCCTTCAACCCTCACTGACCACTCTTCTCCTCTCACCCTCCTCCACAACACCCTCTCCTCCACACTCGACACTCTTGCCCCCATCACCTCCCGTACTGTCTCCTACTCTCGCTCCTCCCCCTGGTTCACCACCCACCTCCGCTCACTGAAGAGCCAGGTGCGGGCCGCTGAACGCACCTGCGTCAAATCTGGCCTAATGGTCCACCGACAAATCTGGCTGGACCCCCTCAAAATCTACCGCTCCACTCTAGCCTCGGCCAAGTCGTCCTTCTACTCCAGGATAATCCTGGAGGCGAAGAACAACCCCAGGCTACTGTTTTCTACCACATCCTGACTCCTCCATTCCCCCCCGCCCCCCCACGCAGGTCATCTCCTCCAACCTTCACTGCGAGGAGATGCTGGATTTCCTTATCCAAAATCAAGGGAATTCGCTCCTGGGTCACTTCCCCTCCAACATCCACCCACCCTCCCACACTCCGACTCCTACCCATCCTCTCCTACACACTTTCGTACCCGTTTCCCCACCCTCTGTCACCAAACTCATCCTATCCCTGAAACCCACCACCTGCTCCCTTGACCCCATCCCCACTCCACTCCTTATCTCTCAGCTCCACCTCCTTGCCCCACATATCACAGACATCGTCAACCTGTCCCTCTCCTCTGGCTCTGTTCCCATTCCCTTAAAAACTGCCACCATCACTCCCACCTTGAAAAAACCCTCCCTTGATGCATCGCAGCTGTCAAGCTACCGGCCCATCTCCAACCTCCCCTTCCTGTCCAAGGTCCTGGAACGAGTTGTCACCTCCCAACTGCGCTCTTTCCTCTCCACCATTCATTATTCGAACCCCTTCAGTCGGGTTTCCGTGCTGCCCATAGCACAGAAACCGCCCTGGTCAAGGTCACCAATGACATCCTGACCATCTGTGACCAGGGCTCCCTCTGCCTCCTCATCCTCCTCGACCTATCGGCAGCATTCGATACGGTCGACCACGCTATCCTCCCCCACCGCTTGTCCTCCCACCTCAACCTTCAAGGCTCTGTCCTTGAGTGGTTTAGGTCGTACCTCTCCCACCGTCTTCACTTTGTTTCCACGAATGGCTTTTCCTCCGGCCCCCGCACTGTCTCGTGCGGTGTCCCTCAGTAAAACTGAGGCCCTCCTGATTGGCTCACGTTAGCGCCTCCGCACCTCAGGCGCTGACAGCATCAGCATCCAAGGCTGCACTCTCCACTTCTCAAAGTCAGTCAGGAACCTCGGTGTTCTGTTCGACCCTGAGCTGTCCTTTCTCCCTCATATCCGCACCACAACTGGCACCGCCTTCCATCACCTCCGGAATATCGCCAGACTATAGCACTACCTCACCCCTCACGCGGCTGAAACTCTGGTCCACGCCTTTATCACCTCAAGGCTGGACTATGGGAACTCTCTCCTCGCCGGCCTTCCCGCACCTCCCTCCACACTGCAGGTCATTCAGAACTCTGCAGCTCGTGTACTGTCCTGCACCAGGCTTCGGGACCACATCACTCCCACCCTCGCCCTCGCCCGCCCTCGCCCTCGCTCGCCTCCACTGGCTCCCCATCCCCCAGAGGATCGAATTCAAGATCCTCATCCTCACCTACAAGGCCATTCACGGCCTTGCTCCCTCCTACCTCTCTGACCTACTATCCCCCTACCTACCTGCCCGTCGCCTCCGTTCCTCTGGCTCCGGTCTGCTCCACATCCCCCACCTCAACCGCCCTACCATCGGTGGCCGGGCCTTCAGCCTCTCAGCCCCGAGGCTCTGGAACTCCATCCCCCAGTGCCTTCGCCGCTTCCTCCCTTTCCTCCTTCAAGGCCGGTCTCAAGACCTTTCTCTTTGACCGTGCCTTCAGCTCCCCTCTCGACTCTCTACCCCCTCCTCGCCCCCTCCCTTCCCTCCCCTCACCCTGACCATTTCCCCCCAATGCTCGGGTCCTGACCCAACTGTACAGCGCCTTGGGACGTCCTCCCGACGTGAAAGGCGCTCTATAAATGAAATCTTGTTGTTGTTGTATAAGAAAAATCCTTTTAATAATAATTTTAATAATGTTTCGTTGCTGACTGAAGGAAAATACTAAATTTTATTGTGGTGTACTTTAATTTGAGAAATATTTTGTCAAGATCCAGTGCTTTCTTAAATTGGCACCTGGTAGATTTCAGCATCCCTAGACTTAATTGAAAATGTATGATTCGAACTCCAGGAGATAGTTTGATTTGTGCATCTTGGCTCTTCTTATATAAGAAAATTGACTTGTGGAAGAATTATCAGGAGTACTTCCAGAATTGAATTTGAATTCTGGTTGAACAAGCATATCCCAGGATAAGTAATGCACCATTATTGAAAGAATTGCTTTTTGATTTCAATTCATAATTCATTCATAATTCATATGATATATAATAATCCTCGCATTTGATACTGTGCCTTATCACGTCTTCAAGACGTCTCAAAGCGTTTCACGGAATGTACTGTAATGTGAATTGAGTATATAATTTGCGGACGTATTTATATACAATTTCAATTTATAATTTACATAAATTGGGGGAGCTTAATAGTAAAACTGTTAGTGATATAAGATAGTTGGATCATTGACACTTTAAACCATGCCAAGTGAGATGAGCGATTGTGTGTTGTGTCTGCCACTGCTGGGTTGACCTCTCCATCTTACTATTGTGTGAAAATACTGATGGAGCTCAGGTATTTCTCCATTGAGGTAGATGGAAAATTAGTGCATTGTCATGTCTTGGTGCTCTGTCACATCAATTAATCTATGTGCTGCACCTCTCGTTCCGCAATTGAACCAAGTGTCCACGTGCGTGTTCCCCACTAAGCGATTTGAGAGGTTTCGAAGACTTGATAAGGCGCTGTATCAAATGCAAGAATTATTATTATTAGTTGGAGGTATGGAGCTTGAGCAGCAGCTGCTTACCTCTCTGCACACCAATTAAAGTGGATACCAAGACCTGGATGTATGAGCGTGTGTTCATGCTCATTCATACATTTAGATCTTGGTATCCACCTTAAATGGTAGCCTCAGAGTTTCCTCATCAGCTATTCAATACAATACAAGTTGTGAGGATGTTCCAAGGCTCTTGAACAGACAAATTCAATAGACATTTGCCTTTACATTTGGTGGGAGGACCTTTGTAGGACGGCTTGTAACATATCTTTAGTATATTACAAGTTATAATACAGTTATACGCTCTGGATTTATTTGCTAATTTTTGTAGGTAGAATCTTCTGGGAGCATTTCATGTTTTGAGTTCTTGTTCTAACTATTCATGAAGTGAATTAAGCGCATGGCATCATAAAGGCCAATGTGCAGCTGCTTCTCAGGTCAACTGATTAATTTGGAAAATGATGTAGTAAAATAAGTGAATAAATGTGTATTGTAGGATTGAAGCTTGATAGATTTATAGGGACAAATTACAGATTTATTATGCAGTAAGTGGACCTTAAATGCAGTGATTGGGTGCTAGTTTTAAGATAAATATAATATAATCTCATTTCCCTTGTATGCTTAAAGCACTCCGGAACACTATCCCGAGTGAAGAGTGCTATATAAATGCAAGTTGTTGTAGTTGATACTGTATTTGCCGATTCCTTGTTACTCTCCTTTCTCTGCCAAAATGTACAAGTTTTCAGTTAACAATGGCATCTTTGTTTCTTCTTATTACAGCTAAAGATTGAAAAGGTATTCATCTTCTCTTTGATTGAATACCTTTCTGCAAGAGGATGTTCGTTTCCAATGTACACATTTGATGAACAAACTGAACCAGCAGCGCATGTTTGAGCCTCACCTCTGTGATGATATCGTCGTGGTGAGTCTGAAGCAGTCATTTGTTGCTCTCCAAACTGTGTTGACGTCTTTCAGCCAGTTATTTCTATTGCTCTTGACCAGCACCAAGCAGTTGAAGCAAGTGAAACGATATATTGGGTCTCTAAAGTTGCAAAGCTTCAATCAGATCTTTTGCTTTATTTATACGTCTACGCTTTATCTGATTGCATGTGGTGTACAGAAGGTGATAAATATAATCAGTATCCTTCAGATGAGTCACATTTCCAACCCTTGCCAGAAACTGATTGACAGTCGTACTTTGCGTTTTGCTGACATGGCCCAGGAGGGCCAGCAATGCTCTCAGATTTCTCCTCCATTTTACTGTAATGTTGATAAAGAACTTGATTTATCCACCAAGATTTACCCCAGGGAAGGGAGTAAACCGTATTTGATGAAAGTAGAGGATAAGATGGCTAAGCGACACCTGAAAGCAAGAGACCAACCATATTATGAAGCGACTGAGGCAACGGAAGAAGACATTCATGGAATGGAAGGAGATGCAGAGGACTCTGATGACTCGGATGAGCAGCGATCCTATAACCGGGAACAAATCATAGTTGAAGTGAACCTTAATAACCAGACTTTACACGTTTCAAAAGGGACAGAAGGTGTGTCTTCACAGTCTGAGAAAACTACCATTGTTAACTCCAGTGATGATGAGGAGAACGATGAGGGTGATGATGAAGATTACGAAGATGATGATCAGGATGCAGAGAAAGAAGACATGGACACCGACGAAGATGATGAACCTGAGGAGGAGGAGGAAGAGGAAGAAGTCGAAGAAATCAAGCAAAGAAGATCCAAGGCAACTGATAAAATAAAGACAGCAGAAGCAACTCTTTCGAGGGAAAGCACAAAAATGGACGTGACCCAGCGGAGGAAGACGAGAAGTAGAAACGCTAAAGTCACGTCCCCAAAAGAGAAACAGTTTGAAGAGAAACAAAATCTCACCTGTGAGAAATGTCCTCGGGTCTTCAACAATCGCTGGTACCTTGAAAAACATATGAATGTAACTCACAGTCGGATGCAGATCTGTGATAAGTGTGGGAAAAAATTTGTGCTAGAGAGTGAACTGGTACTTCATCAACAAACTGAATGTGAGAAGAACATCCAGGTAAGGCCATAGTCTTTTGTTGCAATAAATCCGCTAAACTTTTTATCTTTTGTTTTCATGATGTAATGGAGGCCATCTGGATTTGGACTCAATAACTTATAATAATAATCCTTGCATTTGATATAGCGCTTTTCACGTCGGGAGGACGTCCCAAAGCGCTTGACAGAACACACTGTAAAGTGAATTGACTGTATATTTGTGGGCGAACGCAGCAGCCAATTGCACACAGCAATGTCCCACAAACAGTTGTAGATTGAAAATGACCAATTTTTTTTTATTATTGTTTTTGGTTTTGGCGGAATTATTATTAGGCTCTGTGTGGAGTAAGGAAACTTGCCCAAGGTTTCGCCCTCTGCCTGGAATTGAACTCAGGTCTCTCGCTTGCAAAGCGAGTGCTCTAACCACTGAGCTACAGGACTCCATCAACTTTTTGATACTTTACCTTTACAAGAAGGACAGGTCCATTTTCCCTTCTCCAGGTCCCCTGGTCAAATGATCTCCTACGGCTGAGAGGTTGAGGCATCAACTAAACTGCTCCAAGCTCACCTATCAGTGCTGGGGGGGCTTGTCAAATGCCTTAATGGTGGTCCTAGAGGAACTGTGTCCTTTTCCCCTCCCCTAATGAATTAAAATTAATTCCCCTCAAAATTCCCCTTCTTCCTATGCAATTAAGTTTTTTAAAAAGTAGGAATTTGGAGGGCGAGTAATGCCTTTCAGAAGCTAAAATGAATTGGTTCAAATGCAGGGGTAAAATATTTTTGACTTTTGACAAATAATTACTTAACGCATTGATATGTTTTGAATTTCACATGCTCTTAGCCACCTATTAAAGTTTACGAGAAGAGCTTTCTTTATAGATTATTCTAATAATTTTTGTATTTGGTACAGTGTCTTTCATGTTGGTAGGGCGTATCAAAATACTTTGCAGCATTTACTGTGAAGTGGAGTGACTGTAGGTGAACATGGCAGTCCAAATGCACACAGCAACATCCCACCAAATGCCATGAAATGAATGACCAATTTTAGTTGGGAGATTGTTGGCAAGACACCGGGTGAAACTCCTTTGTCTAAATTATTATTTATGCAACACCTTTCACATTGGAAGAATCTCAAAGCTGACTGAGCCTAAGAGGAGGAAATGTTTCAAAAACGATTCATTTAATTTGCAGTTTTATGACCTGCATGTAATTACTTTTGTATTTTGTTGAAAATGGCAAATTACTACTATTTCAAAAATGATTTAGTGATGGGATTAAAACAACAACAAAATTAAATTTCTATAGCAACAAAAATAGATAATATTTATGCTAATTATTAGACTACTTGTTAATTCACCTCCATAGTTGATTCACATGTATGTTGATTCACATACATAGTTGCTGCACATTTCGAGTCCTGTAAACTGCTTTGAGATGTCCTCCTGACATGAAACTCTATATCAAATGCAAGGATTATTTTTTATCTTAGACAAAGTCTCAAGGCCGGCTGCTGAAGTCAACATTGTGATATTATTAATAGACATTGAAAATTGAAGTTCCAAATAAAGGTTTGGGTGATAATTAGGTGACTCTGTCTAAGATGTTTTTCAACATATGTTGAACAGTAAAACGCACATAAGTCTTATCTTTTTAATCTTATAATCGCCTAAATAGTACATTCACCTAAGTCCCATTCAGATTCCTATTAGATTTTTTTTTGCACTGGTCGTAATTATCACCTCCTAACTCGTAATGTAGCTCCTGTATCCTACATTACTTACCAGCTGCATTGAATCCCGGGAAATGATGTCCTGATCCGTCGACGCATGTGATAAGTAATTACATTTACTGCCTAGCTGCATTTAATCGCTGGAAACGTAGTCTTGAACCATTGATGCACGAGCAGAAGAACTAAGTTTCGCACAACTCAATGCGATTGCAATGCCTGCTGGTAAGTGTAAATGCGGCAACAGGTCAAAATGTATTGAATTGCGAGAAACATAGTCTTGAATCGTCGCTATATGTGGTGCACTTAACAGCTCATTGGCAAAGTTTTGCATTCACACTTAGCGGTTGCATTGAATTATGCATGCGCAGCACAGATTATTGATTAAATCAGATTTCATGCAACTTCTACAAGTTTGTTTGCAACTTGAATTCTGCCCAAGTCACATTCAATGTTGTGGTCCTGACTGTTATGACTTATGTGAGCTTTACTGTATTTCATTTGTGCAACCTGGATACCGGATAGCAAACTATTATATACAATGTATTGTTCTCATTAGTAGGACCTGGTTCTGAGTTATTCAGTTTCCCACCTATTTTTTAAATACTAATTCGATAGATGATTACTAACTTCTCCCATCACGTAGGGGAGACTGAGGAGTTCCTTAACTAAATGCTCCAGAAGGTGGTGCCCCACAGTCAGGTAGACGGTGAGGAAGGGAAGTGGAGGACAATCCTCAGAGGTAAAAAAAAAAGTAGAAATTGGTCGCTTCAATTCCCCGACTATTTGTGGGACATTGCTGTGTGCAATTGGCTGCCATGTTTCACCAGCAAAATATACAGTCAATTCACTTTACAGTATATTCTGTGAAACGCTTTGAGACGTCTCAAAAGACGTGATAAGGCGCTATATCAAAATGCAAGGATTATTATTAAAGCAGATAGTGCAGAGATCCACTGGGGATATTGCTGTGTGTAAATTGGATGCTGTATACACTTATGCAAATAACTTTATAATAAATTCTGTCAAGCGTTTTGAGGCATCTCAACGACGTGATAAGACACCAAGCAAGTGAAGCATTCTTACTGATAGAAGATGCCAATACAAATGATACAGGCCAGCAATTTTTCTTACACCGAGCCAGATAATGAGCATTGGCAGCCTACTTAGCATTGAGGCCATTACAGCCGAGTCTGATCCTCTCTTTCCTTTCCTCTCCCCATCTAATATCTACATGCAAGTATTTTAGTGATCAAGAGCTAGATCTGTGACAAATTATTTCTCTTTCTTCCCATCCCCCCTTCCTTTGCCCAATAACACAGAGGCCAGTTGTAGCATCCTGACCCTCAAATGCAATTGCCAACTGGAGCATAGAGCAAACAGATCAGCAAATATTTTGTAAATGTTATGTCCTATTCAGGGTACATTCACTACGATTCTAAGAACATAAAAACATAAGAATTAGGAGCAGGAGTAGGCCATTCGGCCCTTCGAGCCCTGCCCCGCCATTCGATAAGATCATGGCTGATCTTCAGACCTAACTCTAATTACCTGCCCTATCCCCATATCCCCTAATTTCTTAAGAAATTTTAAGACTGTGACCCCTGGTTATAGATTCTCCTACCAGGGGAAACAGTCCCTCTGTGTCTACTTTATCAGCCCTTTAAGAATCTTATATGTTTCAATAAGATCTCCCCTAATTCTTCTGTACTCTAGAGAATACAGCCTTAGTTTATTCAGCCTATACTCATAGGTCAGTCCCCTCATCCCAGGAACTAACGTAGTGAATCTACGCTGCACCCCCTCCAGGGCAAGTATGTCCTTTTTTAAATAAGAAGACCAAAACTGCACACAATACTCAAGGTGCGGTCTCACCAAGGCCCTATACAGTTGCACCAAGACTTCCCTACTCTTGTACTCTAAACCTTTTGCAATGAACGCTAACATGCCGTTCGCCTTCTTAGTTGCTGCTGCACCTGCAAACTAACTTTTTGAGACTGGTGTACAAGGACACCCAAATCCCTCTGAACACTAACACTATCTAATCTCTCCCCCTCTAGAAAATAATCTTTTTCTATTTTTGCTATCTAGGTGAATAACTTCACACGTCCCCACATTAAATTCCATCTGCCACCTACTGCCACCTAGATCCCGTTGCAATCTTTTTGCATCATCCTCAGAGCTTACTCTCCCACCTACTTTAGTGTCATCCGCGAATTTAGATACGTTAAATTCAATGTCCTCGTCTAGATCATTGATGTAAATTGTAAATAGCTGAGGCCCAAGCACTGATCCTTGTGGCATCCACTAGTCACATCCTGCCAATTCGAGAATGACCCGTTTATCCCTACTCTCTGTTTTCTTTCTGTTAACCATTCTTCAATCCATGCTAATATGTTCCCATTAATCCCATGGACCTTAACCTTGTGCAATAGCCTTTTGTGTGGCACTTTGTCAAATGCCTTTTAAGATCTAAATATACTATATCTACTGGTTCCCCCCTATCTAACCTGCTAGATACATCTTCAAAAAACTCTAAAAGATTAGTTAAGCATTTTCTGATGAAAAAAGGAATTTTTTGGCCAATGTTTTCATTCCACTATCTGAAAGCATTACTTATTGGAAACCTTGATCGAAGACTAATAAAATAGCAAGTTCTTGGTAACTGGACAAATGTCTCATTTTTCCATATCTCTGCAAAGCATGATTCCACTGAATGAAACAGTAACATCCGTGAGAAATGGTTAGATAATTTGAGTGTTAATAGCAATGAGCAATTACTAAATTGTTTTGAATGCATTGTATTGAGCACTGGTTCTTTTCATTTCATGTAAATGTTGAGTTGTAAAATTAAATATAGTTTTCTTTTTTAAACTGACTTTCCTATAGTAGAAAAGATACTGAAAGTTTCCAATTTATTAATGTTGTTATTTTGCCCAAGTCTTCTTACAGATATAAATTTATTATTAATAATGATATTCTTTCCATTTGATAAATCATTGGAATACTCATGCTCTTTGTAGGCAAACATCTTCCAAGTTTCAGTTCACACCATTTTAGCTCCAATTTTAAGATTGTGTCCCTTTTGTTTTGGATTCTTTTAATACAGGGAAGAAACCTCCCAGTGCAACATACAACTTGATTCTCTCCTTTTTGGTGGTTCGTTCAGCCATAACTGGTTTAATAATAATCCTTTCATTTGATATAGTGCCTTATGATGTCTTTGAGACGTCTCAAAGCGCTTCACAGAATATACTATAAAGTGAATTGACTGTATATTTTGTGGGCAAAAGTTTAGACTGCAATATAAACTGTAGTTATCATTTTTCAGTTGTTCGTCATTTTAGTTCACACTAAAATTAAAATCGAGGTCTAAATGTTTGGGTTTGGACATTACTCAATGCGTTAGTAATTCAGCGTCACAAAATGATTAGAAAACTGGCACCACTGTGTGACCAAAAAGAGAATAGCAGTAAATGAAACCATCCATCAAAAGTTTTCTAGTTTCTATCTGTAACATGCAACGATTTCTGTCTGGATCATTCTGAATACATTACCTATTTTATCACAGAAATTAGCTTCTTAACACCCCTCATCTTTAAATCAAATTTACATGAATTAGTAAAACCTATATGGGAAAGGTTGATTTGATGGAGTTTAATTTTTACTGATTGTGCAGAATTTAAAATTATAAATCCCTGTACTTGAAAATCTTTCTTTTTGTATCATGCATTGTGCCAAAATTTAATAAGCAACAATGCTTTTTATATATATATATATATATATATATATATATATATCTCTAATAAGTATGAATCTTACTATGGTTCCCCCTTTCATGTTTTTTCCCAATGCTCTCAAACTGACTTTTATCATCAACATCATGTTTTAATACCTTAAAAGAAAATGCCAGATTTTCTGTGCATGTCCATTTTCTGAAGCAATTTTGTCGAGCAAGCTTCCAGGTCCAGTTTTGCACCCAAATATAAACGCACGATTTAGAAAACTTGGAGCATGAAGGGATTTCTAAGTGAGGGTTTGGAGCTTCAAATCGAATCATTTGTAGATGGGAAGACAGTGGAACCTGGCAAAGAGTGGAATTATGGGCATGTGTAGTTTACTGCGGATAAGGATCAGACAGCAGAGCTGGAGTTTGGATAAAATTGTTATTAAAAATGTTTTCCTTCCAGTTTAAACGCTGCAGTTATTACGGTTATTATTGCCGCTGAAACACTGGTCTGTGCCTTTATCACCTTTTGGCTGGATTATTCAAATGCCCTCCTCGCCGGTCTCCCCTCCACTACCATCCATAAAATCCAGGTCACACAAAACTCTGTCGCTCGCATTCTTACCCGCACCAAACTGCACTCATCAATTACCCCAGTCCTTGCCAGACTGCACTGGCTGCCTGTCCCAGAGAGGATCGACTTCAAGATCCTCACCCTTGTTCTCAAATCCCTCCACTCCTCTGCACCTCCCGACCTCTCTGACCTCTCTCCTCACAACAGTACCCGTTGCCTTCGTTCCACCTTGTCCCCCGAGTCCTCCGCTCCACCATCGGCGGCCATGCCTTCAGCCACTAAGCCCCGAGACTGGAATTCCCTTCCTCACTCCCTTCGCCTCGCCCCCTCTCTTCCTATTTTCAGGTCTCGGCTGAAGACCTTTCTTTTCGACCGGGCCTTTGGTCACCTTCCCCCACCCCCTTCCCCCTGGCTCAGCCCCGGGATCCATTCCTGTGAAGCGCTCTGAGACGCCGTCCGGCATGGAGGGCGCTATATAAATCCAAGTTGTTGTTGTTACATATTGCCTGTAGGTGGCAGAGGTGACCAACAAATTCTTCTGGTTGCAAATCTCTTGACTCAGATAGTTGGCATTTTTCTTGATTTCAAAGCATATCATATATTATAGTATTTTAAAAATAATATTCTGGTTTAGAACTAAAAATTACCTTTGTATGTGTCCGCATAAGATTAGAATTTTTACATTATCCGATAACCTCCCCTTCCACCCTCCAACAACTGCCAACCACCAAACCTGTTTTAATAATAATAATAATCCTTGCATTTGATGTAGCGCCTTATCATGCCTTTGAGAAGTCTCAAAGTGCTTCAAAGAATATACTGTAAAATGAATTGACTATATTTTGTGGGCAAAATTTGGCAGCCAATTGAGCGACCAATTTTTAACCCTGGAAAAGCGATCTCCAATCGACTAATTACCAGGATTCTACTTACTACTAGGTAAACAGAGTAATAAAACAAAGGAATAATTTAGTTACTCAATTCACGACTGTTTGTGGGACGCTGCTGTGCGCAATTGGCTAGCGCATTTCACCCACAAAATATACAGTCAATTCACTTTGAGATGTCTTGAAGACGTGAAAAGCGCTATATCAAATGCAAAGTTTATTATTATTATTTATTATAAACAAACCTACCCAACATTTCACTCTGCTCATGAATCAAACTCAGGTCCTCTCGCTTGTGAAGCGAGTGCTCTAACCACTAACACCCTAGGGGAGAAAAGAAAGAACACTAAGGGGAAGGGCATGAGATAATGGTATGTTATTTTAAATGTCGTATTCATGCTGTAGTCGTCGAACGTATCCTAAGAATGCCTAAAACGTTCTCATTTTGTTATCAGTGTGTATCCTGTGGAAAGTCTTTCAAGAAGCTATGGTCTCTGCATGAGCACATTAAAGTTGTTCATGGCTTTGCTGAGAAGAAATTCTCCTGTGAGATTTGTGAAAAGAAATTCTATACCATGGCTCATGTCCGAAAGCATATGGTCGGTAAGTGGAAAAAATGATGAATACCTTTTAATTAACCGGAGGGAAAAAAAGCCAATTTATTTATATCAAAAATGACTTGGTAATCCTTTCATATTACAATGAATTCTCTCAAACCCTTTGATTAACTTCAGCACCTCTATTATATCACCCTTAAACGTTTTCACTCCCAAAAGGAAGAGTCCTAATTTTTCTAACTTCTAGTGTCTCTTCACAGCTATATATTATTCACATAAGAAGAAAACCTTTTGAAGAAAACCTCAGCACCCTCACTGAAATAAATTAATGAGCAATCCTTTCAAAAATGTATCTGATTTCTATTTCACTTTTAAACAAGTAGCACAATCTTCTTTGGTACAGCTAGGTGGTATCGAGGAGCATCTATTAAACTTGGAAGAATCTTCCTGAATGAGTTTGATATATTCACTGCGATAACTATTTCCCCACTCTCTGTCACCAACCTCATCCTGTCCCTGAAACCCACCACCTGCTCCCTTGACCTCATCCCCACTCCACTCCTTATCTCCCAGCTCCACCTCCTGGCCCCACTTCTCACAGACATCACCTCTCACACTCTCCACCTCTCAAAGCCAGTCAGGAGCCTTGGCGTTCTGTTCGACCCTGATATGATCCTCATATCCGCACCACAACTGGCACCTCCTTCCATCACCTCCGGAATATCGCCAGACTACAGCACTACCTCACCCCTCACGCTGCTGAAACACTGGTCCACGCCTTTATCACCTCAAGGCTGGACTATGGGAACTCTCTCCTCGCCGGCCTTCCCGGCACCTCCCTCCACACTGCAGGTCATTCAGAACTCTGCAGCTCGTGTACTGTCCCGCACCAGGCTTCGCGACCACATCACTCCCACCCTCGCTCGCCTCCACTGGCTCCCCATCCCCAGAGGATCGAATTCAAGATCCTCATCCTCACCTACAAGGCCATTCACGGCCTCGCTCCTCCTACCTCTCTGACCTACTATCCCCCTACCTACCTGCCCGTACCCTCCGTTCCTCTGGCTCCGGTCTGCTCCACATCCCCCGCCCCAACCGCCCTACCATTGGTGGCCGGGCCTTCAGCCTCTCAGCCCCGAGGCTCTGGAACTCTATCCCCCAGTGCCTTCGCCTTGCCTCCTCCCTTTCCTCCTTCAAGGCCGTCTCAAGACCTTTCTCTTCGACCGTTTCCTCCACCTCCCCTCTCGACTCTACCCCCTCCTCGCTCCCTCCCTTCCCTCCCCTTGACCATTTCCCCCCTGCTCGGGTCCCGACCCAACTGTCCAGCACCTTGGGACGTCCTCCCACATGAAAGGTGCTCTGTAAATGAAATGTTGTTGTTGTTGTTGTTGTAGGTATAATTAAATTGTTCTTTCCTGATTACAAATGTCCTGGTGTGAATTTTAGCCTTTGACAGTATTGTGCGCTACTTCAAAGATAATTTAAGGGAATTTAATGTGAAGGGCTTTGTTCTGTAGCACTCTACCATTTAGTCGTTTGTTTCACAGCACATACAAAGGACATGCCATTCACCTGTGAAACGTGTGGGAAATCGTTCAAACGTAGCATGTCACTAAAGGTTCATTCTCTTCAACATTCAGGAGAGAAGCCTTTCAAATGTGAGGTAAGTCAATGGCACCTGATTAAATCTTCTGTTTTAGGTTACATTTGCGCTTAAAATTTGAATTTCTTCCTAGTATGATTTAATGATGTTTTGTTTTTGAAGATATGTTCATGTAGCTGAATTCCAAGAAAAGTGAAATTTAAAAACCCTCACTGTCCCATAGAAAGCTTTAGTTTTGGGGGATTCTGGCATGTGGATCAGATATTCTGGTTGTTAGAGAATCATTAGCTGATATATTTTCAGGATTTGCTTTCTTGATCAACTTGGTGTATAGAAAGTAAATCAAAAAACTCCGCGCTCCACCCATGCATAGTGAAACTAACTATCGTCATTTTACAAATTAAAAGAGGATTTGTGCATCAAAGATCTCTATCTGAATCAAGGGTGTTGGGGGTCCGTCATTTGAGAACTCATTATTATGTACCAGAATACTATAACTTAGGAAGTATCTTTAAATTCCTGAAGTACAATTTACTAGTATTACAGTACCAATCATTCATATCTTAAGGCAGCTGAAGTACAAGTTTTTGTTTCAGAACTGTGATGAACGTTTTCAGTACAAGTACCAACTTCGCTCTCACATGAGTATCCATATTGGTCACAAACAGTTTATGTGCCAGTGGTGTGGGAAGGACTTCAACATGAAGCAGTATTTTGATGAACACATGAAAACACATACGGGTAAGAATACAGTGCAGCAACTACACTTTCATTTTGGAATATTTCTAATCAAATCGATTGAATGTCTTAATATTTATTGAAATTAATTGAAGGTAAATGGGCTCTTAAGAGGCAGAATGTTTTTTCATTCATTTTTGGTAACACTTCCTCTTATTTGCCTCATTAGGAAAGAAAATGCGTATTACAGTACAATCTTTGAGAAGTCTCGAAGACATGATCAGGTGCTCTATCAAATGCAAGGATTATTATTATTACTATTATTGCAGTCTGAGTACTCAAAAGAGTGAAGCTGTCTTAGTACTTTTAACACTGAAGTTCATAAAGATGAGGATATCAGCCTGGGTTCCCAATCATGATTGGCAGTTATATAGTTACTATGATTTAAATAATAATCCCTGCATTTGATAAAGTGCCTTTCATTTCGGGAGGACGTCTCAAAGTGCTTCACAAAATTTTCAGTGAAAGTGACTCTGTATTTTATAGGTGAAACGGGCAGTCAGTTGATGCACAGTAGTGTCCCCATTTGCCTCCCCAGGAGGACTTAAGGGCACCTTATGTTCTTCCATAAGATTCCATAAGGAATTAATTCTTAATAAATGCTCTTGTTTCTTTTTTGATGACACAGTGTTATTGTTGCAGTTAGTTAACATTGTTATAATGTCCATTTTGTTATTGTCCTTTGTATGTTGAATGTTTATAGTAAGTTGTTTTCACAAAAATAATCTTCAACACAATTCCCAAGAGGCTTGAATTCTTAGCTCTAATGGATAAAAAAATGAACGGGATTAATAAACTACAACAACAAAATGACATTTGTAAAGTGCCTTTCACATCGGGAGGACGTTATACGGAGGTGTGAGAGAGAGAGAGAGAGAGAGAGAGAATGTTGATTGTAAACCTTTTTTTTAATTTACATTTTTTAAAAAAATCTCTTATTTTTTAGGGGAAAAACCCTTCATCTGTGAAATCTGTGGCAAAAGTTTCACAAGCCGCCCGAACATGAAGCGCCATCGCAGGACCCACACGGGCGAGAAACCTTATCCCTGTGATGTCTGCGGCCAGCGATTCCGCTTCTCCAACATGTTAAAAGCCCACAAAGAAAAGTGTTTCCGGGTCACCAGTCCAGTCAACATCCCGCCCACTACAACCACTGCCTCTGTGGCCGTCGCACCCATTTCCTCGCCACCGCCAGTCACCATAAGCTCCATTGGCTCGCTTCCTCCACGACCCATCCCCCACCCACTCTCCCATTTACATCTCCACCCACATCATCACACACTTTCGATGCCTCCTGTCGCACACCTACCACCCCCACCCGCCCTCTTCAACGCTGAAGCGATGAACCATAGATGCCAAAGTGAGAGTTCGTTCCTGCGTCATATTTCTGAAAAACACAGTGCGGCAGGTGGAAGCCACCACCACTGACACTTCAATACTTTTCCCGAACGGCGTGCAAGAGTATTTGTCCAAACCCCCCCACCTATTAACTGAACTAAGCACCATAACATTGAGACTCGAAAACAAAGAAGATTGAGCAATCATGCGGAAATTTCAAATATTTTACTAAACGTCACTGTTCTTGTTTCAGTTGTGTAAACTTGAGGGCAGAACAGGCAACCAAATTTCGACTAATAATTCCATGTATAAGGATATTAAGCTGCCTATATACGATGAACAAAGTTTTTCATTTTTAGGGAATGATGTATTTGTCATTTCATATCTGTTAAGATATGCCTAATTTTTTTTTACCTTGAGTTACTCCTCTTGCATTGAGGAAACAAAAGGCTTATTTCTATCACATTGATTAAATATTCTGGGGAAATTAATTACTAAATTCAATGGTCCCATTGTCTTGTGAGACATCAGAGCATTACGTGTATCACAATGTGCTGAAAGGATATTTCTGAAGCTAGTAGTGCTGACTAGATCATGTTCTAGCCTAACCTGTCACTATGAAGCATTATGGAGAAGTACTGTTAATACAGCTTTCATTTTACTACAGAATTATTCTTAGATGTTTGTAGCATATTTAGAAACCGTTGATTCAAAGATAACGTGTCACAAATTGTGGTAATAATTATATTTTTGTTCTTGTAGATGTTATGTTCATAAAATTCAGTTGAATAATCACTGCATTACCCATAACATTCAGTGATGTGACAATTAACGTATACAGATACTCCACGACAGAGTACACTGTGAACATGTCTGCAGCTGCATATACTTCTTCATTCTTTATATCTTCCACATATTCTAGACAATTGCCAACTTGGTACCATTCTATATTGGGGTAAAACCCGGGAATGATACCTATTCACAATGATTCAGTTGATCTCCTTTACTTCCAAGCTATATAAGGGGATGACTTCCTACCCGGAAAATCCCCGTTTGTTGCCCAAGATTAATGCAAAAAGGGTTTTTTTGTTTGTGAGTTTTAACTGACTCTTATTTACCTGAGAAAATGCCCAACTAATGCTGATTTTACATGTGAAATATAACTTCACAGTTGTAGTCAACAATGAATGTCTTGGTTGCCAGATATCCAGCAAGGAGATGGGGGGTTATAAGATTTGCCCAAGTCCATTGCAGTGCCTTGAGGCAGTCATCAGTCACTGCTCTTGACTCAGCATCCAGTAGGGAAAACAGCACAAGTGACAAACCAATTTATCATTCAGTCAAATGAACGTCTGATTCACCTGACGTTTTTCCAAAACTTACTGAATTGAGAGACTGGACACATTCCAGTCCACCATCTCAGGATCCACCAGAAAATGTATGCATAGGAAGTCCCTGTCATCCTCCTAATCCCAGACTAGCCTCAAATTGGTTCTTCTAGATCCTGGCATTAAGCAGTATTCCTTCGATCTATCCTGTTCCCAACGGAACAATCTGCTCCCAGGTGTCTGCCTAAAAACTTATCTTTGCTAGTGGTGCTAGGTTTGGTTGGTGCTGGTTGCAGTGATGAAGTTGTAAAATAACTGATGATTGAATCAACTGATGATTGAACTCGGTTTGATTCTGGTGTTTTGCTCCCAACAATTTCCAGTCCTCATGACAAGTTTTTGTCCAGCCTGCTTTCTTGATAATCATCTCCAGCAGTGGGTAATCTATCCTTTCACCAGCGTCCTCATCAAAACCCATTTGGAATCTGACTGTCTTTAGGTTGATGTTTAATCTAACGTTTTTGTGTATTAAATCACGTTACAAATCTTCACAAAATGATTTGTGGCTCACGGATTTTGGATAAAGTCATCTCCCATGAGTAGCTGGATAAGTGAAATGTATCCTCCGTTAGCAGGTAATGAATCTTTCAACTTGGGCAAGGATAATAATAATCCTTGCATTTGATATAGCGCCTTATCACATCTTCGAGACATCTCAAAACGCTGCACAGAATGTACTATAAAGTGAATTGACTATATTTTGTGGGTGAAAGTAGAGGATATCACCACTGATTTTTTTTACCTAATGGGCTAATTTGAAACTTATTAATCTGCAAAACTGCTATAGGAGGATATCTACCCTTTACAAAATATTGCTGGTTAGATTTAACCAAGAGTGGACATTGCTAGTGACTAGTGTCATTAAGACGTTTATTTGTATCAGAACGAAGAAGGAAAGATGATATACCTATAGAGGTCATCTTCATTTTTACAATTGACATTGACATCCCTGCAGTTTTTTTAAGAATGATTTGTCGTTCCTTCTACTTGTATGCGGAGATCAAAAAAAGGCTTTTAAGGGTCATTATACTGTATCGCCTTTATTGTACAGGAATGAGTAGCCAATCCCAACTTAATCATATCATTGAGGTCAGTGTTTCGGAGGTTCCTTTTGCTAAAGGTTGCTTCACTTCCCAGATAATTTTTTTACATTGAACAAAATTTAATTTGCTGGCTAGCAGATTTATCATAATATTTATATCAGCGCCAAGAAAATCATCCCACTAGAACTATCTTTCAGAACTGTCCGAATCTTCAACGTTGCACCAGGAAGCTTTCCTGTTGAACAGCTTTCTGCTCAGTTGCAAAGCTTCAGAACTGTTTAACTAAGATTCGATAACACTTGGCCAGTTGGTGGCAGCAAAGCATCTAATACTAACCAGATTAAAGGTTGGAAAACTTGTGCTGTTTATACTGAAAACTTGAATCTATCTGCCAAAGTTCAGAACAACTTCCACCAGTTTTCATGCCACTAGATGTAGCACCTTGTCATGGCAGAACAATCTATTTCCGAGAGAAGCAAAACTGGTATTAAAAGTTTCGCAACTTGCGTTCGGTCGACACACTAAACAGTTGAAGAAGCTCCAATGAAGTGCCAGATCCCAGTTCTGACAGAGTTTTGCAACAGATTGTCAACATTTGTACTACCCGTATGAGTTTTAACCGGTTTTGTTATCTGCTTGAGCGAACATTTCACAATGAAATAATGATGAGCATTGTTTAACTTTGGGTTTGAAAATGATTTATTCGGTTTTTAACTTATCTTTCAAGAGGAGAAGCAAAATAAAGCAAGTGCCACAATCAGAGAGAGAATGAGGAGAGGTGTTTTGGGAATACGGGACCTTGAAGTTTGAAAAGTACTAACCATCTTAGTAAGCACAAAATCATTTTATTTTGCAGGATCCAAAGACAAAAATTGGAGTGGCTCCAACACAGCTTGGGGAAATCTTTTTTGATTTGTCCCTGAAAATGTAAATGCGGGCACTTTCCAGTAACAAAACTAATTTCTTCTGCATCAGCATTACAATCCACAATATCCCATCTCTCCCCCACTCTCCCCCCCCCCCCCCCCCCCCCCCCCCCACCAAAAGAAAACAGTTTTAAGACATCCCCACACTCTTGTTGCCATTCTGATTTATGCAGAATTAATTGAAAAGTAAGTTCAAACTCTTGTAAATTTGAACCTTAGTCAGCTTGTGTCAATTTTTAGAGGAACTCATTCATTGAACAAAATCTTGGAAAATTCAGTCAAGACTGCCAAAAAAAAATCTAATCAAGTAGATTGTCAATCAAGTATTTTCAACAAGAAAATCCATTGTGGTCGCATAGCTGTGTAGGAAAACGTCATAGAATACCATTTCTGTTTGTCTCTGATTTGTAATGTTGGCTTTTACGCTGCCAATGAAATAAGGTCACAATGCTAATTTCAGGTTATCCAACAGTTAGTTATAAAGAAACATAGCCTGAGGGGATACGATTTTGGTGCAAAACACGCATCTGAAATTCTGTTCTTTTGCCACAAAATATTCTGTTTTACCTTTTAAATTGAATTTTGCAATATCCACAGTGGAACCATTTTTTTTCAAAAGAAAAATTAACCAGAATAATGCAAAAGGAAAGTGTCTCTTTGAACACTACTTTTGTGCTTACGGTTTATGTGAGAATCGTATCGGAAATTAATAAAATATTAATTGTGATCAATTATTTTTAGTCCACCACCTGATCCAACATCCTGTGACAGATGGGGGTCATTGCCAGTGAATTGCTTTTCAAATGTTCTCTGATGTATTGGATCGTTTCTACTTTGAACTCAAACCTTTGATGTAATAGGAATCATACTCGAGGAAAGACCGCTTACCGTTGACAGGAATACGAAAGGAACTCGTGTTTTAAACAGAGTTATAATTTAGTTGATATAATGGTGTGCAATAGTGACATTTTTAATAATATATGAAATTGATATTTTATAACGCTGCACTTTGAGCAGAATTTTATGATTGATTGGTACTTGACTTTTGCTGGACATTTATTTGGTTCTGTTGAATCCAGTGCTTATGACCCCATTAAATATGAAAGACTGAATAAAAGAAATAAAGTGATATAACTGGAAAACTTGTGACGGAACCGTTTAAGCTGATGTTCTGACCTATGCATACTCTAGTTCTAATGTCTACTACAGTAAACCTCACATAAGTAGTATCGGTTGGGAGCATACATTTAATATGATTTATGCAAAGTATGACTTATGTCAAACTTGCATAGAATATAAACTCTTGAACGGGACTTAATAATATAATAATCCTTGCATTTGATATAGTGCCTTATCACGTCTTCAAACCGTCTCAAAGCGCTTCACAGAATATACTGTAAAGTGAATTGATTGTATATTTTGTGGGTGAAACGCAGCAGATGTATGACTTAGGCAATTATACGATTTATACAGGTCAGACTTATGTGAGTTTTACAGTATTTAATTTTTACACCATACAGCATGTTAAATTTTACAGATTCAGTTTTGTGGTCATTGGGGTGGACGATTAACAAACTTGAAAGGGTAACTAATTTTCACGCTTTTTTTTAGTCAGATGGTGTCTGACGCATGCGGAAACCCTTCACCGTGCTTAAGAGTATCCAAACCAAACGGTTTCATGCATCCCGTCACACACGGTGAGAATCCCGAGATATTTATTGGAATGTCTCGTTTTGAATTTGAGCACATAAAGCCTTCTGCTTGAACTACTTGATTTTGTTTATATTCAATAAATTAATTAACACGTTGGATGCACCCTACTGCATTCAAATAATAATAATAATCCTTGCATTTGATATAGCGCCTTATCAGGCCTTCGAGATGTTTCAAAGCGCCTCACAGAATATACTGTAAAGTGAACTGACTGTTTTGTGGATGAAACACGGCAGCCAATTGCGCACATCAGTGTCCCACAAACAGTGTTGGATTGAGTGAACAAATTATTATTTATTTATTTTAAATATAATAAGAAACATTTAAAGCTTATTACTTTCTTCCATTAGATTTTTTCTTAGGAATTATAAATAAACTCTGCTGTCGAGGGCTGAAATGACCCCACCAAGCTTATTGATACGTTGCTGTCCACTTCCAGACTCAGTGCTCAAAGACTGCTCTCCTGGACTTTGTCTTGAGTGAACCATGTACTGTACAGGGAGAGGAGAGGAGTGATTAAATTGCTGGGTGATAGTGGCCAAAGATCATTAACATTCAATCTGATTTGGAGAACACATGGGCACATAAGAAAGCCTTAGCGTTCAACTTTAGATTATACTATAATTTTTACATTTCATATTAGTGTTGTACCACATTGGTGATGTGTCTCACAGCAATTTACATTAGCTCTTCACTTATTAGTGACTGGGTTGTGTAGATGAGCAGCAAATTTGCACACAGCAATGTTCCACAAACAGCCAGGAAGTGAATGTCCAGTTTTAGCTGGGAATTCATGGCCAGGACACACTGGGACAAACTCCCTTCTCTTTTCAAATAGTGCTCTGGAATCTTCCACTGATAGGCAGATAAAACCTCGATTTAACTTCTCATCAGAAGGACAGCACCTCCAACATTGCACCCGTACTGAATGACCTATGAGTTCAAAATCCCAACCTGGGCCTTGAATGCACAACCTTCTGACTCGAGAGGCGATAGTGCAACCAACTAAATCAAGCTGATACTGATGATAATAATAGTGCGTTTGATATAGAGCTCAGAAGGTTCAGAACATGCGAGCATTTCACAAAATTGCTATGAAGTGTAGTGACTGTATTTGTAGGCATGCCAAGGTGTATGATAACGACCCCGTTTCATATCCATTTTAAATCTACAATAACATCTGAATTTGGTATTTATAAACTACAAGAATAAGCAGTGTTTTTTTTAGTATGAGATCTATGAAAATGGGTTACATGTTACCAAACCATAAAATGAATGAAGCTTTTGACTGGCGTACAATCAGTGAGAGCTCAGGAGGAACAACAATTTGCGTTTATTCTCACCCTTCGGGTAGGATGTAGTGTCTCGGAGCACTTATAATCTACATTTCGTAAAGGAGGACCTCCCAAAGTGCTTCAAGGAATATACTTCACAGGATCGCTTTCTGGGGCAATAACCCTTCCCTCCAGAAAATGTGCAGGACTTTGAGACGTCTCAAAGACATGATAAGACGATATATCAAATGCAAGAATTATCATTATGGCGTCCTGTAGCTCAGTGCCTTCACCTCGCAAGCGAGAGGGCCTGGGCTCAATTCCCGACAGCACGAAACGTTAGGCTGATTCCACACACACGCCTCTGTTTACCGAGCAATAAGTATTCGTTGATTGGTGGATCGCTTTTGCGGGAGTAATAAACCCTTAAATAAAATAATAATTTGGTCACTTCAATCCACGATTGTTTGTGGGACGCTGCTGTCCGCAATTGGCTGCCGCATTTATCCCACAAAATACACAGTCAATTCACTTTACAGTATATTCTGTGAAGCGCTTTGAGACGTCTCGAAGACGTGATCAGTGACAGACAAGTGGGTAGGTTTGATAGGCGAGAAAGGAGCTGGGCAGCTGCATTGCCACTTACTGACTTACCGCCACGCTCAGGGCACTTCACACCAAAACACACAG